ATTTATATACAATAACAAGAGACCTCAAATAATCAAAACAATCTCAAAAAAGAACAAGTGGGAAAAGACACTTCCCAATTTCAAAACTTATTACAAAGCTGTGATTAAAAAAAATGTGGCACTGGCAAAAGGCTAGATGACCAGTGAAATAGAATGGAGAGAAATAGACCTGTACATCTGTGGCTAGTTGTGTGTTGACAGTCATGCCAAGTCCACTCAATGGCGAAAGACGTTTCTTCAGTGAATGGTGTTGGGCACTGGATTTCTACATATAAGAGAATGAAGTTGGACCCCTACTCCACACCTTGTACAAATATTATCTACTAATGATTAGCTTATTCTTTCCCAAACAGAGGGTTTTTTCCCAATATCAAAAAGGATAATTAAAGTGAAAATTATCTAATTTTAAAAGAATAGAGTTCTTTAGAAAGAATACTGTGTGTGTGTGTGTGTGTATGTGTGTGTGTGGTTTCTTCATGCTACCAGTATTTTTTTGTTTTTGAGAGTTTTTTGCTATAGGGCATGTACGCTCGCCAGACAGAGAGAGACAGAGAGACAGAAAGCGAGAAATCACCCCCCAGGGGGGATGGCCACGCTGCAATCCCTTCTCCTCCATTCTCCTCTCGGGATCTTGGGCGCACACGCACATGCACCCGGCGTGAGTTTAAGCCACCGGGTCTGGGACGCGAACCGCGGTCGACTACATGGGAGTCCAGCGACATAGCCATTACGCTAACTGCTGGTCCCTCTACCAGTATTTTTTGAACAACAGTGTTGTTGACAGCCTTCTGTACTAGGCACTTGGAGATGCAATGGTGAACAAAACCAAACTTATTTCCAGCTTTAATAAAATGTATAGTCTGGGGAGACAGATAACTCAGAAAATAACTGCACCACGAAACTCCAACAGTGATATGTGGTGTGCAGGAAAGCATGTGTAGGGGAAGCGGGGGCGTGGTGCTTCCGACTGCTGGACCCCACAGGGCTGACTGTGCAGTTTGAGTCCTGGACCTGTTGGCCTAAGAAACACATTGGGGTGTGTGCGTGCGCATACCCAAAATCCCAAGAGGAGAGAGGAGGATTAGGGACTGCGGCATGGTCATCCCCTTGTGAGGGGTGATAATAAAAAAGAGTTTTCCCTGTTTAAATTTTTTTTTTTTTTTTCCGGGGGAGGTTTTTGCTATAGGGCACGTGCATTTGCCAGAAAGACAGAGACAGAGAGACAAAAAGCTAGAAATCACCTCCCCAGGGGGCATGGCCACGCTGTAATCCCTTCTCCTCCATTCTCCTCTTGGGATCTTGGGCACGCATACGCACGCGCCCATTGTGAGTTTAAGCCACCGGGTCCAGGACTTGAACCGCAGTTGACTACATAGGAGTCCAGTGACATAGCCATTATGCCAACTGTTGGTCCCTGCTGTTTAAATTTTTAAAGGAACTTTGTCTTAATTTTTAGCAACTTATTTAATAATGACATCATTAGGCAGCTACTTTTAGATAAAATATGCTAAATAATGCCTTCTTCATAAATTATGCTCTAAGAACCTGTTTACATTTTAATTTAAAATAGAAAAGTTTTCCTTGTGATTTAAAACCTCGTTTTGAGTGGGTGGGATGTGAATGGCTTATGTAGTTTCTGCCGAGGAATTGATATGGGCTTTCCATACACCAGTAATTTATAATCAAAACGCTCTTAACTTGCATTGATGCTGGCATTAGCAAGTGCCGCTCATGGTAGCTAGAAAGAAGTTGCAGTTCAACTCACTGGGAGCTCATTGAGGCCTGAGGTTTTATAATGCCTTCTGTGGGCCATTTAACTGCTGGCACCTTTCATTCACATGACTCATAATGCAGGAAATTTAAATTCACTCTTAATTGAAAAGTAAAGTTACTTAAATTCTTTAAATGCTAACCTTTGGAAAAATATCTGAAAAATAAAGGCACATATGATTTTGATGGCCCACTGCCAAAAAGATTATCATTTACATAAATATCTCTTTCAGCAGAAGAGTTTACTGTATTGAGCTCAAAAGGTTAGAGTAGGGACTTCAGTCTGGGAAGCAGCAGTGGACTGCTGGCTTGTGAACAGCGGCATTGTTCGCCCTGCTGAGAACACTGTGCGCATTCAAGCCTGAGCAGAGCTGGCATTAAAATGCAGTTAATTTGCTTCATGTGACTTGTCAGCTGTGTGTTTTTATCTAAATCTTTCTAGCCTCTCTTCCTATTTTGTATTAAACTTCTGAAGCAAGCTACCTATTTAACTGTTTAAGCTCTGCTGTGGTGGTCGCTTCTGCAGATGGTTCTGGACAACCGTCCTACAGGTTTTCATTTCACTTTGTATATACTTAACAATAAACTTGAACACCATTTTTACTAAGAGTAATTCCATTTCAGAGGGGTTTTCTGTTTAATGCCCGTGTGTGTGTGTGTCCCTAAAAGTGACTTCCTAAAATTCATTTGAGACCAAAATGCCACCTTATCTTCTCACTCGTGCCATATTCTTTTCTCATTTGCTAATTTCGTTCTCTGGATTTTTCCTTTAGATGGTTTCTTCTATTTGGCTTATTGCTAGGTATTGGGTCTGGGCCATAGAGTGCACCTCTAAAAAAGTAATGTAACTATTATCAGGGTAAGGTTCCCACTTTATTTATTTATTTATTTTTTGGAGAGGTTTTTGCTATAGGGCGCGTGCGCTCGCCAGACAGACAGAGAGAGACATAGAGACAGAAAGCGAGAAATCACCCCCCAGGGAGGATGGTCACGCCGCAATCCCTTCTCCATTCTCCTCTCGGGATCTTGGGCATGCACGCACACGCGCCCGGCGTGAGTTTTAAGCCACCGGGTCCGGGACGCGAACTGCGGTCGACTACGTGGGAGTCCAGCGACATAGCCATTACGCTAACTGCTGGTTCCCGTCCCCACTTTACTTTTTGAAGGGCACAAAAATCTTACTGCACGCTAAAATTGTGCCTGAGTGCAATCCGACAGCAAGTGCCCTTGATTAGGAAGTGGGTGTTGGAAAGTATCTCCAGTGGCCCTTAAACAGCTGTCTGAGGTATGATCGACACAGAAGAGACTAGGTTTACACCACACATCCCACAAGTCTGACGTGTGTGTAAGCACACAATCACTACCACGTTCAGGAGTGTGGACATAGTCACTGCTTCCAGAACGTTCCTGCTGTAATCTCACATTCTTCCTCTTCTCCACATCCCAACTTCACAAGAAAATCTGACCTCCATTACTTTAGATTGGTTTACATTTCTAGTTTTTCATAAATGAAGACATACAACTATGGGCTCCAGTGGCTGAATTCTTTTATTCAATAGAAACTGTTCTGAGATTTGTCCGTGTTGTCCCATGTGTCAGGGGCTCATTCCTTTGCACAGGCGAGCAGTGTCCCATGGACGATCGTGCCGTCTAGTCATCCGTTCACCTTGAGTGGATCCACCTCCTCGTGTTCTGAGTCGTCCGTCATGGTATTTTACCCACTCTCCCCTCTCTGTGATAGGGTCTCGCTTCCTGCCTCCGAACAGCACATT